TCGGAGGAGGAGACGCTCTGGAAAGATTCCCCGCACGCTCCCGCCGTGCTCTCCGCCGGAGATGGCGCTGCTTTTCCTGTCAGCGTGTGCAGCTTCCCCTGAATCCTCCGAGAACAATGGAACTCTTCTCCCATGCGGCGCTCCCCCTATAGTGCAGGGAAAGGGGTCTAGAGAAACACCCCTTTAAAGTTGGAGGCCCTAAAAGTGACCGAAATTCTGTGAAGTATTGAACCTTAGTCACAATTACGGTATAGCAGATAGGGATTTTGTTTGGGTTTAAACACTCTCCTTCCCCCTCATATTCCGCCCCCCGCCCTTCCCCACAGCATTTCTGACCTGTCAGACCATATCATTGTTGAAAGTTTCTGGGAAAAGCAACCAAGCAAATTACTTTCCTTGTAAATGAATAAACACAGGGGGTGTTTTAAGTATATGCGAGATAATATTTTGCTTTCATCCTAGCAATGCATCGTGACTCTTGTCCACTGGACTGCAAGGTTTACGTGGGTAACCTTGGCAACAATGGCAACAAAACTGAACTAGAGCGAGCTTTTGGCTACTATGGACCACTGCGCAGTGTATGGGTGGCAAGAAATCCTCCTGGCTTTGCCTTTGTGGAATTTGAGGATCCACGAGATGCAGCTGATGCAGTGAGAGAGCTAGATGGAAGGTAAAATGTGCTTCTTGACTGTTTGGCTTCCCTGGTTAAAATAACATTGTGGGTTTTGACAGTTTAAATTGGGAAGTGACAAAAATAAGGACTTGACACACTCGTTATGTAGTATTTATTTGTGTGGTGATAATAAGGGTAGTCTTAATAGCACAGGAATAGCATTGGGACAGTTGATTTTATATTTTGCAGCTGGACTCCCAAGTTAGACATGACCTGGACCTCTTGGTGTGCAATTAGTTAAATTGAAGATGGTGTTACTATAAAGAGGCAAAGCTGATCAGGGAGCTTCTCCTTGGTTCCTTCTCTGCCTGCTTTAATAGCATGGCAAGCTCTAGAATTGACCAGCCCTTGTCTGTCATGCTGGGGATGACTTTTAGACTGAATACTGTGTACTTCAGCTGCTGTGCCTACAGACTGCTGCGTGCTTGCCTATTCCTTTTTTCTTTCTCAATTCCCTAGGTTCCCCCTGGTGCAGCCTTCTCCCTGGCAATGCTAATGGATGTCAATCTCTCTTCCCAGAACCCTCTGTGGGTGTCGTGTCAGGGTGGAGCTCTCCAATGGTGAGAAGCGGAGTCGGAACCGTGGTCCACCCCCATCCTGGGGCCGGCGTCCTCGAGACGACTACCGCAGAAGGAGTCCTCCTCCTCGCCGCAGGTACCCGGGGGGCACAGTACACTCGTAGAGCTGTTGGCACTGTTACCACGTAGCGTCCTAGGAGCAGGCTTTGTTAAAAGCATGTTGATGGATAACATTCCTCTATCTGATCACAATTTGGAGATGGCAAATGCTTAAAAAAGAAAACCCCAAGCCCCCACAAAATCGAGGTGAACTTGTGTTGAATGTTGGCTTTTGTCCTTAGGTCACTGTGCAAGTTGGTAGTCAGCGCCCTCTATCCTGGACTTATCCTCGTTCCTCCTAAAATCTGCTCATCTTCTAGTCACACTTTCCCTTTCTTCCCCATACTTCAACTTAGGCTGTTCCTTTCCTTTATTCCATAATGGCAAAACATGACATACAGCAGCTTAGCATTTCCATACAGATGTTGTTTTTCTGCTTTGTTTGTGCAATTTAAATTCTTTCTGAGTAGGCAGCTGTTTAATAATAGATCAAAGTAACAGTTGCTCTAAACATCTTGAATCTTTACACTTTAGTGGTAGTTTGCAATTAAAACATCGTGTGACCATCCTGTCACTTGCGGTTTGCAAACCCAGCTCTAAAATATAGCAGGATTTTTGGGAAGTGACCCGTTCTTGGACCCAGACTACCTTGTCTGGTGGTATAAGACTACAAGGTGGTTTTTGCAGGACTGAATTTACCTGTTGCAGGTGAGTGAAGTCCTCCCAAGTCAGGGTTTGGAGCTGTTTAAAAAAAAAAAGAAAGAAATAACACATTAGGAGTATTTGTTAGCTACTAGATGGTTGTACTGATGGCTTGTTTTTCATTTTTTTTATGCTTTTTTTGGTCCATCTATTAATAAAAATGAACCCGTTACAGAGTCACCATCATGTCTCTTCTCACCACCCTCTGAGTCTGCATTAGCCAGTCAACTAGCCCTTTCAGCGTCATGTGACCAGCGCGCCCCATGCAGCTTGGCTGGTGTCGTTTCACATGACCCAGGCATGGCCAGTCGTCAGGTTGCACCGCCCTTTGGTTCCCGAGCATGCTGTTTTCTCTCAGCCTTCTCTCCAACCTTAACCAAATCGGCAGCAGCCACCTCGACCGCCCACCCAATTCCCGGCCAATCAGCTCAGCTGTTTATTTACCAAATGTCTTCACAACAACTACAGCAGCAGCCTTCGGCTAACAAAAAAGCAGGAAAAATCCACAACACCCCCTCCGCCAACCAACTAAATACAACGCAACATCTGGCAAAACCTTTTCAGCAAATTCTTCTTGGCAGTCAGTCCGGCAGCCTCACCTCACCATTTCTAGCTTGTTGAAACCAAAAACTAGTAAGTTTTTCCTGCTTATACAGTTTACTGCTGGTTAAAATAAGGAGTAAGCGGCTTATAAGTAATTACTTTTCTCAATCAAAGGCTGGCTGTGCATAATTGAGTGGTAACGTACATATGTTGCTTGAGAAAACTTTTAAGGGTGATATGGAAGCTCTTACACTGTGAATAACGTACAAACCAGTATATTTGCATGTGAGATGCCAAACTAAATTTATAATAAAGCTCTAACCAACTTAGCTTTTCCTTGCCAGACAAAAATCCTATCACCTTTAAATGGTTTTACTAACAGTTTTCAAAACTTAAAACAATGACTTTTTTGGGATGAACTGGGCCGAGCTAAGGTTATTTTGGTTTTTTTTTTTTAATTTCTTTTTTTTTTTCTTTTAAGAAAATAGTCTAAACACACTCAGTGGCATTAAAAATGACAATCACAGATACGCAGTTCTAATGTAGCACTTAATGGCATTATCAGTATTGACCCTGAGCGCATTTTCACTTTTTTTTTTTTTTCCTCCCACTTGGTATCTCTTGTGTCTGGTTCTGGACTTTTTTGGCTTGCATGGGTTCCAAAACATTTGCTCTGTGCTACCTATTTTTGTTTGGAACCACTCGTGGGACTTTGGTGTGGTGTTCTGGGCAGTGTATTTAGTTGAAATGGGAAGTGTTGCAGTGGACAACTCTGCTCTGAAGCATTCTTTAGTTAAAAGTGAATTCCTGGTTGGAAACGTGCTGTTCACACTGAGCTTTGGTTTACTGCCTAATCTTTCCATGCCTTTTACTGGATGATGGATGCCAGTTTTTCTTGGCACGTTCCCTGGGCCCAACAGGGAGTTTGACAAGTTGGGAAATGCCTCACCCCATTAATGCTAAAAAAAGTGATCAAAAGCCTCACATTTCTCTTTCTGGTTCTAGATCACCGCGAAGGAGAAGCTTCTCTCGTAGCCGCAGCAGGTATGCATCAGTTAATTCCAGCATGGGCTGCTTTGGCTGGGAGGCTTAAAAAGAGAAACCAAACCAGCCTAACACCTGGGCTGGTGTGGTGATTGGGTGAGGGGAGGACTGGGTTTGCTTCTGAAATGTTGCTGTGTGGAGTTAATGTATTTACACAGCTACTTGAGATTCCAGGGCTGGGATGGAGTTAATTTTCTCCTGAGCGTACTCCATACTGGGGTTATCAGTGGAAGGATGTAGAGGATGGATGTAGCTGCCCAAAGCTCCTGCCAGTTTATCAGTTTTTCTGTCAGTGTGCTGCTTTCTCCCGCAACAGCCACAAGTGCAGATGATGCTGAACACAAGGAGCTTGTTCAGCTGTTACCACTGCAGGGTGTTAGGTGACAGTGGTGTGACACAGTGTGACATTGTGGTCTCCACAGCTCCCTGCATTGCTGTACAGGTTGCGTAAGTGTGTGTGGACACAGCATGTTAGCAGAGGTGCCTGTGCTCGCAGTCAGACTCTGAACAAGCTGCTGCAGAGGAGTTGATGCCTGTTCACAGCATGACTTAAGCATCATTGTATGGCTCAAACTGATTATTCTCACCTGAAGGAAAGGCAGATAGTATCACCTTCAACAGGTTTCCCTGGTTGAGTAGTTAGAATCCTTCACTTCCTGAAGGGAAGCTGCTCTTGATAACCAAATTCAGCTTTGCTTTGATACTGTAGTCATTTTGCATTGTAATCTTCAACAGGTCCCTCTCCAGAGACAGAAGAAGAGAGAGATCACTCTCACGGGAGAGGAACCACAAGCCCTCTCGTTCCTTTTCCAGGTCTCGCAGGTAGGATGAGTTTTCTAGTGGCTATTTAATATGGGAAATGCATGCTTCCATGTCTTGGGAATGCTGGTGAGGGTTGTGGTGGAGAATCATCTACAGTGTCTTAGGAGGTTCTTCACCTTGCTGTCTAAAATACTCAGTTTTACTAAGCAGAGAGCATTTTTAATTGCATAAATGCCCTCCACCAGTTTGGGTTGGGGGGTTTAAAGCAATCTTTGCTGCTCTCAGCACCTGGGTACTAACATGTCTCTTCTCCTGCAGTCGCTCCAGGTCAAATGAGAGGAAATAGGACTGTGAGAAGGAGCTGTGTACAGGAAGCCCTTAGATCTGAGGACAGGAGGAGTATGTACAGAACATTGTTTTGTTTTGAAACTTCATAAAGCTTGGTGCATTTTTAAAATGTTTTAGCTGTTGAACTCGCTTTGTTCCTTGTATCTTGTAACAGGTGGCAGATGTAAAGATGTGAATCTGTATATGGTTCTGAGCAGATCATATGATTTGTAATAAGCCCTTTACAATGTACCATTACACACGGGGTGTGCTTGTGCTGAGTCTAGGCAGTGTGTCTTGCATGGATAGAAGAGTGCTTCAGGTCTTGATGTGCTGGGGGGAGGGAAGACTGTGCTGGGATTCGGCTCTTGGGAAGAGGGGTGCAAGAAAGGGGTGTTCATTGTGGGAGCATGGCTGGGAGCGGTGTCTGTCTATGCTGAACAAGATGTAGATGCTTCATAGGAGAGTTGTCAAACAGTTGGGAGCAGGGAGTGTGTGGAGGGAATGACGGAGCTGCAGCTGTATCCAGAGCTCTGGTTCTGACTTCCATTACCTGGAACGGAGCTGCTTTATATTCTGTGAAATATAAACGTGTAGCCGTAGGGTCAGTTGACTTTGTACTTTATGTCACTAGAGTACTCAACTAGGTGATTGTTGATTGCCCATCTATTCCAGAACCTCTGAACAGACCAAATACACAGCAGAACTGACAACTGGAGTGGGTGTCTTGGGTGTGTAATGGTACATTGGGAAAGCTATGATTTAAACATTTCTTTACTGTACAAGAATTTTCATGTCACTTGTAAAATGTCTTTTGTGAGATCCTTGGGATTAAAGTTTTGGTTACAACTTCTTGTTAAGTATTTGAGTACCTGCTATATACACTTGCATTACAGAATGGGTGCTGGGGGCTTGGGGTGCAACTGGGTTCACAGGAAATGTGCTCTGTGGGATGAAGTGAGGTGTCACTCGCCTGTCACTGCCACAAGCATCTCATACTACTATTACTGATGCAGCCAAGCTAAGCTTAGTGATGCTGGCTGACTTCTTGCCTGTTCGCAGGCTCTGGGATGCTTACTTGGAAAACCAGCTGGAGATTCAAAGGTTCACAGTGGTTTTGGTGTCCTGGGTGTGGGTTGGTAACACGAGTTATTCTTTGTATCTCAGTTTAGAACTGGTTGGATTGTGAACTGAAGCTTTGTGTGACGATTTCCCTGGGATCATAAAGCCAGAGTGTGGCTCGAGTGTGGTCATAGCTCCCAAACTGCCTCCTTTCTTCTTTTTCCCCACCCTGTATCCAAGAGAAGATGAGCTGCATCCATTCACATCATGTGCACTTAGATTAAATCTGTCATGCTGAGCAACAGCCATGTGGCTTAATTTCCTTTGCTTGTAGTGGTTAGGCTGGGACAAGATCAAGCCAAATCTGTGCTGGACACAATGCTCCTCCTCATGTTGCCTGGAAAAGGGCTGTGGAAGAGGTGTATGGACAAGCAGCTGGGGCAGAGGTGTGACTGCACTGCCTGCTGAGGTAGAGCATCTTGATTTATTACTTATTTAACTGTTCTGTACTATTTATGGTTGGATTCAATGGTCTTAAAGGTCTTCTCCAGCCTAAATGGTCCTGTGGGTCCCCTGACCCCCAGTTTAACAGCCCCTGGCCCAGACCGTGCTGTGGTGTGAGCATCACCCACCTCCTGTCCCTTAAACACAGGCGAGTTGCAGGTGATGTGTGTGCAACCAGGTACAGCCCTCGATCCCCAAGCCTGGCACAAACTCAGGATCTCATCCCTTCAGGCTGTGCAGCAGGAGGCTGGGCTGGGCTCACGGTGAGCTGAGGCTGCACTGTCGCGGTTCCCCAGCAGAGGTCAGGGTGGCCTCACCAGTGATGGGGATCCTGGTTCCCAACAGGCTTTGATCCCGAAATGCTGCTGGACCAGCTGCTCCAGGAGTGCCGGCACCAGCTGAAAGGACTGGGATGATGTCATGTGCTGTGTGCAGCTGCATTTCCCGTGTTTAACCCGTGCTCCTGCAGGGTTTGGTCCTGGAAGAGCTGCACCTCTGCAGCAGCCTCTGCGCTGGCACCACTGTTCCTGTTGTGGTTCTGTGGTGTGGAGGGACACGCAGCCTTCACAGGCTTCTACCTATGGGAAAGGAGGGAAGGAAAGCTGAAGTAGAGGAGGCAGTACATGGCAGGGAAGCAGGTTGTGGTTTCATGCACAGTCTGCAGAACAGGAAACATTCATTGGTTCTCGGTTTGTGATTTCATGTTTTACTCCTCAGCCAAATGCAGAAGTTGGCCCTTGGGCTGGAGCAGAACTGCTGCTTCCCAGCAGGTGACTGCTGCAAGACAATCAAGTGGGGGTTGATGAGGAATGAAATCAGCAACTTCTAGAGGAAGATGGAAACTGTGTAAGCACTGACTGTGACCAGCTCTTCTCACAGGGGGCTGTTACCAGGTTGTGGTTTCAAGGCACTGACATGTTCATGGATTTGGGGCTTCCTGTTTGCTTCTAGGAGAGGGTGACCAGCATGGGAGCACTAGGGTGCTCGCATAGATAGTGATGCAGCTTCTGCTTGAAAAGGTACTCTGAAACTGAAGTGACAAGGAAATGTTTGTGTTCTGGAGCCAAGGACATCCCTGGCCTCTCCCCGCAGATTCTCAGACCAGGAAGAGCTGCTCAGCAATCTGTCCTGGCCAGAGGAGGGGACACAGACACTCACCAGCTGTTCCCTGGCACAAAGAGGGGGTTCCCACCCTGTGCTCAGCACCAGCCCTGCTCTGAACCCCCCGGTGATGGGATCTCTGCTGCCTGTGCCCATGAACTATCTCAGCCTGGCTTCACAGTGCTTGCATCGAGGTGCTGAGCTCTTTTACTGACTGGGGAGAGGTTCAGCTGTCCCTGCTCTTGCCAGCAGAAGCATCCTGAGGCTAACACTTGAGTTCCTCAGACACCCATCAGTGCACGATCTGGGCACAGCCGTTACACGTCGTTAACTCCCCTCTGTTGATGTGCAGCATGTTCTTTTCTCACACTGTCCCTGGGGAGAGCATTGTGTGCAAATGGTTCTGCGAAGAAAGGGAGTTTTAGTTTCCTTTTTCTGTACATGCTGCTCTCTGTTTATGGCAGAGAAGATCATTGTAAGAATGCGCCTTGCACTTGGAAAATGGAGAGGCTGAAGATGTTCTTTCTTTCACTGGGGTATGTTCCACCAGCCTTGGGACAGGTTCAGCTGACCCGGGTCATGCTTGAGTGAGAAGCTGCCACCTTACCCAGCACCAGCAGTGGTTGCAGTTAACAAACCCTGTTTGTTCAGTTCACCTCCAGCCTGGACGTGTTTCCAGCCACACTGGCCACTCAAGTACATTCTGATAGATTCCATACTCGCTGCCTTCGCATTGCTCTTAGTTTGAAGTCAGAGGAGCCAGCAGTGACGTTGCTCTGTGCACTGGAGCCTCCCCGCAGCACCCGGAAGGGTGGGTCATGTTTCTTATCTTTGACCAGCTCTGTGCTTTGGTGGGACCTGCCAGCAGAAGTCACCCCTGGAAGCCACTGACCGAGGTTCTGCAGCTTTTATCCGCTGCTATTGCCATCATCTCTTTCCACTTCCCAGTTTTACTTTCTTTTGCTCAGAAGCCCATCACCCCACAATGTCATAAAGAGCCATGAAGCAGGTGAACATTTGACAAACTTCTTCCTGTTTCTCCTGGCTTTTAACCCCTGTCTCCACACTCATGTTCAAATCAGACCCTCAAAATAGTGTCTGAAAACCTGGGCTACGTCATGAATCACCCTCTGGTGCTGCTTGGCTAGCAAAGTGCAGAAACTGGAGCATCAACCCACTTTGCAAACCAAAGGGCATCTCCAGTAGCTCCAGTTCAACCTTAGGTCCTGTGTAGTGTCCAAGACCTGCCACAAAGACATGGGCCTTGGGTTCCCTCTTGCTGAAACATGAAGAGCTCCAATTTCCCACCTCGATCTGCCAAAACCAGGCAAAATCAAACAAAATCAAGACAGTGTTTGCTTGGCAGCCATGGAGCGCAGTGTTGCTGAAGCAGCAGCAGCCCAGCCCATGCAAGAAGCGCTCTGGCTTCCTAGAAATCCTGTCACTGTCTCTGTCTTCTGTTTCACTTCTGAAGTTTCACTGTTACTTACATTCTGTAACTTCAGACAAACACTGTTGTGGACTAAAATAAACACGAGCTCCAGACAAATATAAAATAGGCTGTGCAAGAGGAACGCTATGTTCCCAAGTGATTCATTCAGCTATTATTTAATAATTTAGGAGCTGACATAACTTCTAGCTGAACAAATCTTCACATTGAGCCGAGCAGTGGCTCTGCCTGGTCCTCTGAGTAATTTTAGCTGTTCGATTTTCAGTGGGAGTCATCCCACTTGGAGAAGGGAAATGTGTACATCCTTCCCAGCTACATTGTGCCACCGCTTCCAGGGGTGTTACTCCACAACCTCCTTGTGGAATCCCAGGCTTCACCCTGCTACAGTCAGAGTCAGACAGTCCGGTCCCCTTTGCTGGACAACGGGCGGACATGGTGTGATGGACCAGTGGCACATGCACACAGAGCACCCTGGCGCCACCGCTGTGCACCACGGCCCTGGGTGAGCTGCCACCCTCCCTCAGGAGCTACGGTATCAGGGTGGAGCCGTGGTATCAGCGTGGGGCACCGTGTCCCCGCGCTGTCACTCTGGAGATCGCTCCCACCAGCTGTGACAAGACCATTATCTGCGCCGTGCGCAGCCACTGCTTTGCCCATCAATATTGGGCACTGTTCCGTGGTGCGGTGGTGAGGAAGCTCCATGCTCAGCCTTTCCCACACTGCTGCTGCTGGAGTGCTGGCCTTAGCCTGTGCTATGGGACATTTGTGAGTCACCTGTTTCGTAGAATCATGGAACCATTTGTATTGGAAGGGACCTTAAAGCTCCTCCATTTCCAACCCCACGTGCCACGGGCAGGGACACCTTCCACTAGAGCAGGTTGCTCCAAGCCCCTGTGTCCAACCTGGCCTTGAACACTGCCAGGGATGGGGCAGCCACAGCTTCTCTGGGCACCCTGTGCCAGCGCCTCAGCACCCTCACAGGGAAGAGCTTCTGCCTTAGATCCAACCTGAACTTCCCCTGTTTCAGTTTGAACCCATCATCCCTTGTCCTATCACTCCAGTCCCTGATGAAGGTCCCTCTCCAGCATCCTTGTAGCCCCCTTCAGACACTGGCAACTGCTCTGAGCTCTCCAGCAGCTTCTC